ATATCTTCTAGATCTGCACCATTTTATAACTAGATGGTGCTTTGTGGAAGATTACAAATGGCCCTTTGAAGCCGTAGGCACAGAAGACGCTGGTCCTATTGTGAGCGAAACTAGTATAGAAGCGAGAAATTAACACTGTAAACATGGAGGAGATGAAAGGCCGTTAATATGCTTGAGAATAATAGGAAACAAGGCATCTGTACTGCTATCTGCTCCATCTATGTCGCCATAAGCGTTCAATTCCGAACATACGTCCCTTTCCGAGTCCTGCCCTCGACGAGCACCTACCACTCGGGGGCTATCAGAGCTAACGAGTACGCTCTTTTTCTAAAATTTCGGTGCATGGATATATTTAATTATCGACATTGGAGGGAACCAAGATGGAACTTGGAGGCAGTGAAGATTTTTGCCCTGCGAGTGCGTGCGGGTCCCCGCTCACGTGAGTGGAAGCGCTCGGAGGATCGAGACCCGGATTGAATCGGGAGGCTGCGCACCGACGGTCTGACTGCGATCGAAGGCCCTTGCTAGACGTCTCAACGTCCTCGACATGCCAAGGCATTTTCACTCTCCGCTCTCCTCTAGTTCCTCCCAAGCCGACCGACGTCCATCTTGTACGCTGATGGCGACATGAAGGCGATCGAGCCTGGCGCCGTGGGATGTTCTTTCAACGTTTTCAGAAGCAACGGACGAGTTGCTCGGCTGCGAGCATGCTAAAGAGTAAGTTTTGTTCTTCTTGTGGCCGTCGTGACGGCGTAGCGAAATCTGGCATAACTCTACCAAGTCTGACGTAGCGGAGTGTGTACGGTAGGCACGAAGGTCAGGTCTGATACAATCTTATTTATCATTCAATTTTCATACTGCTCATCGAACAGTTGTATCTGCAAGGCCTTCAGCCGGATGGCCGCAGGCGTGAAAGAGCCGGGTTGGTCGACTCGGACTAGGCAAGCACTGCTGCCGTGGGAATGCTCGATGTCACGATGGTGGGCCGGTTCGCGACTGATTCTTCTGAGCATCGCACGCATCGATGAAGTGTACATATACTATTCTCACGCGCAGTCGTTTTGAGATACGGGCCTAGTCCCGGAGGTCAGGCCCTGTCATTTCGTGATGCGCCCGTACAATGGATGACACCCGTCGCCCCGTTCGAACATAAAGAAATCTGCATGAGCCACTCTCCGCAGCGGTGCGACGTACAAAAATCATCGCCGCTTGCTAGGGGCAAAAGTAAACTTGCCCAAACTCGGAAGCCGTATTGATGCAGGCCGGGAACAGATGGCGCCCGCGGATGAGATAAATTGCAATCCCCGTCTCGTCCTCCTTCGCTCCAAACCACATCCTCCATACCATTTCACGTTGGTCATATTGCCTTCAAACGTCGCCTTCACGCTCTGGAAACCGCGTCGTATCGCTCAGACCACCAAGTCCTGTTGTAACGCATCGCTACAACATTAACAATAAGGCCACATCCCCAGTCTCCCCTACCACTTCGCCACTCACACAACAATCACCTCCGCTCATCAAACAACACCTTTGTTGCGTCAACGACATCGACGCGTCGCGCAACACCAACCACCCCGCAATCGAACCATAATATCCCAGAACAGCACCCACGCCACATCCCCCGCTTCGCCGGCCACAATGTCCACACTCGAAGATTTGTACGCCCTGGAAGACTCAGTCGAGTGGCTCGACCGCTTGCTCGCCGCACTCCACGACCTCGCACCCGACGCACCTCCCGACCTCCGCGGCGTCGCGCAGCGGAACCTCGTCACCATAAGCGACCTACACGTCGAGAAAGAGAGCGAGCGGGACCGGGTGGCTGCCGAACTGTACGGCGCCAATCCGAGCGACCACGATGGCTACGCCACCGAGCCTGACGTCGAAGAAGATGGGCGACTCGGCGACGACGAGAGTGGCTATAGTGGTGACGATGACAGAGACGGCGGCGGAGACGACGACAATGGCGACGCGCAAGGTCAGCCTCTGCCCGTTCATCAGCGTGTCTCGCCGCTGCCCGACCACCGTGCATACCGCGTCGTGAACCCTCCGCCAACTTTCCTTAAAAACCGAGGTGAGTTCCGCTGATCCGATGTTCGGTTTAGATAAATACTAACGCCCCCTGGGTAGCTCTCGTTCGCCCAAGTCCTGGACAGCTGCCGCATGTTTCCGAATACAGCGGCCTGTCACCCAGAGACGACGATGTTCAACAAGGGACTTGCACAGTGGTATCCGCCGCTGTTCAGTTCTCCTTGAACAAAACAGGAACAGATACAACCGATAAAGGTGCCACCTTGTCTCGTACCCACCGCCTCGCGTTCCGATGCGACGCGCCTTCGGAACGCGCGGACCGCACAGCCGCCACAAGCGGCTACCGGGCGCTCTCTCACCGTCAGCTTTCGACACACGCACCAAGGACAGAGAACAAGAGGGGAAAGAAGAGAGCACGGGAGGTCGAGGAAGTCAAGGAAGAGGAGGTCGATGAAGAGCCGCGGGATAGGCGCGCCGCGAACAAGGAGAACGTTGCTGCCGGCCCCAGCGAGACCGACGATGACGACCGGGACCACGAGGGTCGCAAGCCTAAGCGCAGCAGACCCAGCCCAGTCCGCCCGTCTTTCTGCCATCCGTCTCGCCATGTGGAGAACCGTGACCGAGTCCGCGCGGCAGGTGCTGCCAGCGTGCAGACAGCTGCGCCCGCCGCGGTCGTTGCTCCGCCTCCTCCTATGCCAGCCGTGCCGGTTGCTGCGCTGGTGCCCGCGGTCGCTGCACCGGCCGCGCAGCCGGCTCAAGGTGCCTTCGTCGTCATACCGCCTCCGCCTGCCACACCAGCTCTGCCCACCCCTACCTACCTCCCGCCAATCGTCCAGGTACTCGCTGGTCTCCCTAACCTGCCATACAACATCGTATTGCCTCCGATCGTCGCACACCAGCCTCCAATCGCACACCAGCCTCCGCTCGTTGCACACCAGCATCCGATCGTCCCAAACCAGCCGGCGACGACGCAGAATCCTAAGATGCAGCTTGGCTTCATCATGATGTAGCGGCCCGTGGTTCACTACCCAAAAAAGCGCAGAGAATTAGCTCTGAAACGGTCCTGAAATGTGTAAAGTAGTTAGCCCTCATCTATCGATTCTTGGTTGCGTGCCTCTGGGCGACTAGTCTTGAACTAGGTGCAAGCTGGAGCTCGTAGCTGAGACAATATTGGCTGTTCGTCGTCAGTATCATCGTGGAGAAATGTGGCGGCGCCTGTTGTAGCCTGATATACGAAGGGAGAGATCTGGAGAGATGCAGGTGGGAAGTTTGAATGCGAAGATTTTTACCATGCGGTAGCGTCGTGGCGTTTGCGATCGATCGGGGTCCCGAGTGCACGTGACATGAAGGCGTCCGACTCCGCCCCCGGAGACCGCTTGAGCTCACTCTATGCCCATCGCTCTCTACAAGTGAGTGGGTCCCTGGCTGGGGCCGTACATTCACCTGTCATGCCATATATATGTTGACTTTTGCTCATGTAAGACAATGTCTGACTCCGCTGAAAGTTTCCACCGACGCAATCAGTAAATTACTTACTCGCTTATCCGTTTTCGGAGTGACAGACGACCGACTGGCCAATTTATCATACAGTACTGCCGGTGAGTGATCTAAGGATGCAGAGCGCTATCGGCATCGCGCACGATTCAGTGCAGTAGCTCACCTTAGTGTAGCTATTTGGGCTACAGTCGAACTCTCCACTACGGGAAGCTGGTAAAAACGCAAAAATACTCAAATAAATCGCGGAAGTGGTCATATACATGTCTGGTAGCATACATGCGTGGAATATCCTGTCGTTGGCAGCTCGACGTTGTTTTCTCGGGGAGCGCACAAATCGCGCGCGAAACAGCCCCCCACCGCCGGATGATCCAAGTGAACTAGACATTCTAGCAAGAGACCGCACGTCACCTTCGATGTACGACGCAGTCTCCAACGGGCAAAGTCTGGGCGCGCTAGAATGGCTATGGATGAGACTACCACATCCTGCATCCCCTTTCGCGTCGTTAAAATTGCCAGAAAACACCGCTGCAATTGTTGGCGTTGTAGTGACGCGTTATAAATGCGGCTTGGCGTGTCACTACAACACCAACAAATCAGGCCACATTGCCTGTCTCTCCTACCATCTTCGCCTTCGCTCGCTCGCACAACAATCGCATACGCCTCTCGAATAGCAACTTTGTCGCGTCAACGACATCGAAGCGTCGCGCACCACCAACAACCCCGCAATCGGGCCGCAATGCTCCAGAACAGCACCCAAGCCACACGCCTCGCCTTGCCGGCCACAATGTCTACACCCGCGCCCTTACGCACGCTACCAAGTCCAAAGTCTAGGAAGATGGACAATCCAGCGACGAGACTGGCTATGGCGGCGGCGATGACCCTAGTGACGCGCAAGGTCAGCTTCTGCCCGTTCGCGGATGCGTCTCGCCGGTGCCCGAACATCGTAAGCGTCGCGCCGCGAGTCCTCCAGCAACTTTCCTGCAGAACAGAGGTAAGTTCCGCTGGTATGACGTTTTATTTGATTGACACTGGCGCCCTGCGCAGCTCCAGCTCGACCAAATCCTGGTCAGCCGTTGCTTGTCTCCGAATACAGCGGCCAAGCACCAGGAGATGGAGACGTCCGACAAGCAGCTCGTACAGCGCTGTTCAGCTCGCGTCAAACCAACTAGCAATGCATACAACTACACAAGGCGCCGCCTTGCATCGCAGTCACCACCTCCGATACGACGCACTTTCGGGCCACATCGAATGCATCGCAGTGCCAGTCGCCACAAGCGGATATCGTACGTTCTCCGGTCCTCCACCTTAGGTGTGGACACACACCTAGGACGGAGAGCCAGAGGGAGAAGGAGAGAGCACTGGAGATCGAGAAAGTCAAGGAAGACGAGCTCGATGAAGAGCCCCAGAAGAGGCATGCTGCGGACGAGAACGCTTTCCCCAGCCGTAGCGAACACGACGATAACGAGCGTAACCATGAAGGTCCCAGGCCTAAGCACAGCAGACGCAGCCCAGTCCGCCCGTCCTTCTGCCACTCGTCTTGCCATGTGGAGAACCGTAGCTGAGTCCACGCTGCAGGTTTTGCCAACGTGCTAACATCTGCGTCCGCCTCAGTCGTTATTCCTCCTGCCTCTGCATCAGCCGCACCGGTCGCCGCGCCAGCATCCGCATAGCCGACTCAAGGTGCTTTCGTCGTCGTGCCACCGCCTCCGCCAACGAACAAGCTCCATCCGCTCCTGCATACATCCCGCCAATTGCACAACTACTCACTGCACTCCCTGGCCCGCCCTACGACATTGCGTTGCCTCCGATCGTCGCACACCAGCCGGCGACGACGCAGAGCCCCAGGATGCAGCTTGGCCTCATCATGCTGTAGCGGCACATGGTTTCCTTCTTAACGTAATGCAGAGATATGGTCTTGAACTGATTGTGGAATTTGTTAAAGTACTTAGCCCTCGTCTATCGATTTTTTGCCGCGCATCTTCGGACGAACGAACTTGAGCGAGACTTGAGCTGGCAGTCTGCTACTGAGACAACAAAATTCCTTTGCTGCGAGTATCATCGTGGGGGGATGCGCTGCCTGAGCGCTGTATCACGGTAAGGATGTGTGGAGGAGGAGAAGAGAGTTGGAGGGACGCAGATGAAACTCTTAGGGCGAAGATTTTTGCCCTGCGTGCGAACTGCGATAGTGCGTCCGGGGTCCCCACTCACGTGAGTGGAGGCGCTTGGAGAGACCCCGGATTGAGTCTCGAAACGGTCCAACTCCACACGACAATCTTGATACATAATGGCTTTCGAGAGCGGGTGTAATGATGCGGCGCGCAAGGCAGCACTGAGGGGGTACATACGCTAGTATACATAATGAAGGGCTGACTTGAAGGATTCGAGGGTTGTAGCTCGGCGTGCGACGCTGCGGTTGGGATGAACACCTCGTGACGACGCTCGGCCTGCACAAGCGAACATCTCTCTCAGCCAGTAATCTTGTCATTATACGCCTGAAGGTCTGTGCATTTTCTGATCTTGATTTGCCTATGGTGTTTTCCGCCGAGACGTGGGAGCTTCCAGTCCCTCCGTCATTTTTACACCT